GTGAGGTTTGGTGAGTCATTTCTAGCTCAAACTAAAGAAACTGTGCGGGAAACAAGGAGTCAGAACTAAATTCTCTAAATCTAAACAAATCTAAACACAGATGGAGGCAGCCACACTCTGAAACAGCGTTATTATTATTATTATTATTATGAGCATTATCATTATGAGCAATAAAAATGTCAATTCAACTTTTGCTTGAGGGAATCTCAAACTTGTTGACTCGTGATGATTTTTGTATTTTAAATTTTGCCATCAGAAAATTGGGAATATGTCCCAGAACTGTCAGTATAATGATTCAGAGCTTTCAGAGCCTCCCACTGTGGTTTTAAATGCTTTGTGTGTCTATTAGAGACGTTTCTATGGGAGTTTTGTGCAGAACCAAACGTTGTGAGTCGTCATAAAAAGCTCTGCCGCTCCCCGTTTCTCACAGAAACTTCTAATGGGCGGTTTTTCGTTTGTCACTGACATAAAAAGCTTCGCATGTCAGAGTTGTTTGGAATAAACTGTCAAAAGCTTCAGTTTGAATTCGGCATCTCGACTTTTCCTGCAGATTTTCTGAACCAACACAACTGACCACCCACAGGAATGTTTGTGTGAGCACGCCTCCACTGGAGCCCCTCCTGAACAAAAGCGGATATTTGGTTTTATCGGAGCATTTTCAGAGATATGACCATAAGACGAGCAGCAAACTGAAGTGGTGTGAGGCCTAAAGTGGAGTGAGTGGGGGGGGCTTGGCCCTTTTGGATGATTGACAGTATTTAATCTGGGTACCGACCCCCGTCTGAGGCTGATCCCGCCCCCCGTTCCCGTGACCCATCCCAACTGGTAGAAGAGCCGACACAGCTCAGGGATCAGAAACCGGGGATGCTCCTTATCCTGGAAAACACACAAAAACAAAAATCACCAGGTTTAAAAGGAGACATGTTATACCCTATTTCAACAAGTTAAGCTAGCTCCCTGGTGTCCTAATGTAATGTCTGTGACAAGCTTTGGTCAGAATCCCATAAGGATGAAGCCCAATAGCAGTTCAGTCCCCTTGCCTAACCCTAACCCTAACCCTAACCCTAACCCTAACCCAAACCCTAACCCTAACCCTAACCCTAACCCAAAACAGCCCCGTTCAGTGCCAGGCCGAGAAATAAATGGCATTCTTTTCTCTACACTAAACTTTAAAACGAATACATCGGGGAGCCGTTTATGTCTGGAACTCGCTGCTCTGTGAGATAATATGGATTTTAAATTAGTGGATAAATTGCCCATAAAAAAACGCTGATTTCCTCAGTTGAGTCCATTTTTCTAACTGGAGAATAGAGGTTTCAGCGGGCAGATGGTGCTAATCCGCATCCTAAAGAGCCCCGGAGGGGTTCGGGCTAAATTAACTCATTGGTATTGAGTACATCAATACATAGTATTGATATCTTTAACTCATTGGCTGCCAAAGACGTCTATAGAGTCTTTTATGTTTTTAAGGAGAG